TAATATTAATAATTTTTATTAAATATGAGCAACTTAGAAAATATCCTTATAGAATTTTGGTTATCACACCATTTATGTATAGAAAATATTCTTAAAGTTTTAATTTGTACAAATACATCTCTCCTAACACATTTAAGATAGAGTTTGCCTAAATTGCCCTTCTACTCACATTTTACATATTATTTAAAAATACATATTTTGTAAAATGACGAAAATGAATATAACGCAAAAAGACGTTGTGTAGCACAGGAGGGGTGTGATATGCACAATAAGCATATACTATAGAGGTATTTTCTGCACTTTATCCTAAAAACTATCATTGTTTTGAATTTGAACACCATTTTTTTTGTTATGTAAAGAATTATATATGTGTGTGGGTGTGAAAATTTATTACAAATTGTAAAGTTTAAAAAATTAAATGTATATATATATATATATATATTATATATATATATAACAAATAAGTATCTTTAATTTAATTTTTTAATTATATATTTTAAAAAAAATGATAACTATATTAAATTTTAATTGAGATTATATTTTTTCTTTTTTATAATTATAAAAGGAGTTGGGAATGTGATATACTCTCCATTAATCTGACAAAGAACAAGTATTTTTTTTTTTAGATATTTTTTTTATCTCTATTTAACCAGTAAAAAAAATACATATATTAGAACTTTCTAACTTATGAGTGACATTAAGTCCTAGTAAATGTATAACTCTCAACTGAGAGAGATATACTATTATGTTAGAAGAAATATATAGAGAAAATTTATTCTTATTATTTTTTTAAAGGTGAGAGAAAAATCCTTATAAAATGGATTAAATGTGCACATAACACCATTATACTATGAGATTATTAGTATACCAACCCCTTGAGCATCTTTGAAAGAGTAAAATGGATGTCATATTTATGTTTGAGGGGTATTTTCACACAATGTTAAAAGAATGGACTTGAATCCTCTAAGTTAAAGATTCTCTAAATTATCATAAGTTAAATAAAAACATATCTACTGTTGGTGTTAAATCACGTTAACTAATTTACAGAAACTTTGAAAAGTGCACTGTTTTGAAATAAGAAAAATTTACCAAATTTTAAAAATTGTATCGTTTTGAATTAAGGAAAATTCACCACACTCTAACGACGTTTAATATCGTTATCTCTTCTTTATCTTTTCCAAAAAAAATCCTCCCCCTCACTCCTCTTTATTCATATTTGAAACAAGTCGCGTCTCTGTTTCTCTTTTAAATAGTAACAAATTTTAGATTGTTTTTCCTAGTTGGTGATACTCACACAACCCCTGTTTCAAAGGATTGTTTGCACGAAATTTTTAGATTTTAGATTTTTTTTTATCATTTTTATATTTGATTTGGGTAATACAACAAAAAGGTAATGAATCCGTTAAAGCAGAATTCAACTCAACCATAGGCATGTTTTTTTCTTTTTTTGGAAAATAACCATAGGCATGGTTAATATCACTACAAACAGTATTTTAAAGCAGTAGCATAGATTAAGATATCACGCATTTATAGTGTCATCACTCTACATATTGTATTAAGATTTTTTTTTTGCTGAAAAAAGATTTAAACCATGTAATGTCCATTTTTTTCAAAAATAGAGGATTTTTTTTTGATGTAACAGTCCCTTTTTTTTTTTTTTTTTCTTGGATGCCATTTAAATAGAGGAATTTTGTAATTTAGATTTCATAAAAAGAGAGTGAACCAGAGCTTCTAGGCATCAAAAACCGTGGCAAAAAACTTTCATTTTTGGTGCGAAATATTCCCACCAAAAAACGTGGCAATGAACATTCATTTTTGGCGCGAAATATTTCTAGGCGCCAAAAAACGTGGCAAAGAATAAAGAGGAGAGAGAGGGAGGATCTGTTTTTTGGAAAAGATAAGGGAGAGATAACGATGTTAAACGTGGTTAGAGTATGGTGAATTTTTCTTAATTCAAAACGGTGCAGTTTTTAAACTGTGGTAAATTTTATTTATTTCAAAGCGATGCAGTTTTCAAAATTTCTTTAAATTAGTTGACGTTATTTAATACCAGCAGTAGATAGGTTTTTAATATTACGTGTCATTCTATAAGGAATTCAACTTACGATAACTTAAAGAACCTTTAACTTAGAGGATCCAAGTCCTAAAAGAATAAGGGGGTTATTAGTTGTAACAACCCTCACTCTATCCGGACACAATATCATCCGCTTTTGGCTCCCTCAAAGTGCTGAACCAAAAACTTCCCAGGACATTTTCGAAAGAGTAAAATAGCAACTTTATGTTAGATTTCTGTTTGAGAAGTGTTTCTGCACACTGTTAAAAGAATAAAGGGGTTATTAGCTGTAATAGCCCTTACCCAACCCAAACACAATATTGTTCACTTTTGACTCTTCCGAAGTGATAAACCAGAGACTTCCCAAGACATTTTTAAAAAAGTAAAACGATAACTTTATGTCACATTTCTGTTTTAGGGTATTTCTACACAATGTTAAAAGAATAACGGGGTTAATGGCTCCCCCAAAGTGCCGAAACCAAAGGCTTCCCGTGACATTTTTGAAAGAGTACTAAAAAGGCAATTTATGTCAGATTTCTATTTAAGGGGTGTTTTCGCACAATGTTAAAAATAATAAGGGGGTTATTAGCTGTAACAACCATCACCTTATTCAGACACAATATTGGTCGCTTATAGCTCCCCTGAACCACCCATCTTGATACTACTATGTTTTCGCACAATGTTGAAAGAATAAATGGGTTATTATTTGTAGCATCTCTCATCCTACCCAGATACAGTATTGTTCGCTTTTGACTCCTTGGAACCAGAGACTTTCCAGGAAGTCACCCATCCTGGTGCTATTCCAGAATAAACAGGCTTAACGTTGGAGTTCTGATGAGTTTATGGCTATCATAACTTTAAAACTCGTTGTGTCATAAAAGGGTGTTGAACCTCAATATAGCACTTCACATTTCTCAAGCGATGTGAGATCATGACACCATGTAGTCTACAAATATGGTAACTTGTCCAACGTCTCACACCCGTCCACATCACACCTGCTCACAGAAGTCGTCACATTAGCATACATTTTCAAATATGAGATGAAAATGTTACATGCAATATACATTAAGGATGTTTTCTACACTTAACCTTATAAATTATTAGATAGTCTTGAGAGTATTGATCATGATCGACCACCAAAAGCTTATCACTTGCTTACTTCTCCATTGGTGATTGGCCGAAACCGTGACCATAAAATAATCTCCTGGGACAGTACTTGTATGAGTACGACTGCTTTAGCAAATCCAAGTTTTTAAAAAATTATCTTCCTTGCTGGAACAACTAAAATCAGGATGTAGGACACGAATGTTGCATAAGTTCTGAGCTTGGTTGGTGAAAACTAAAAATTTGATTCGACTTTCAAAGCTTACAACTTTAATGCCCCTCGTACTATTTACAATCGAGTGTTTAAACTTGTTTCTTCAAATAATTACAATTGGTTCAATGTGCACCCTAACATCTCCGAGACCAGATTATTAGCTTAATCTTGTCAAATGAGTCTATATGCTAATTAAATACCAATAATACAACACATACCACAACTGCAATTTTAGACAGATTTTTTGTTTTTTAAAATAAAACATTCCAAATTCCGAACTCAATTTAGGATTATGATCTCCTTGCAAAAGTTTCGAGGTCAACATGTCTTTTGCTTGTTAAGAGGTCAAGAAAAAATCATGGTGTCACTATTTCTTCCCAACATAACCTTCATCTTTAAAAAAAAAAAAAAAAATTGTGATCTCAGATGAAGGAGACATCCTCCAAGCTAACATGCATTTTCAGCTGTATGAATTAACAGTCCATCAATCACCACCAAATTCACGCTTTACAAATTTAAAGTCGATCAAATTTAATATATATTACAGAAATATATATATATATATATATATATATATATATATATATATATATATAACATTGAACAAAAATCAAAATTATTGTCTTATAAGGATCCCTAGACTGTATTTGGAGTGATTTCTTACGGATGGAAGAGAAAAAGGAGAGAGAATAAACTGGGATTCTGAATTTTTTGTTTATTATTATTTTTTCAGTAAGCATTTTTGCATGACATTGGTTTCACAGATTTTTCACCTGTGTACAGAATTCCATTTAAATGAACGTGGTTAACTTATTATCATGGAAACCTCTATAACTTTGCTTATGAATTGATGAAAATTTAAAACTTCTTGGAGTTTAAAATAGTTTTCTTAAAACATCATTTAGGTTTAACTTAGGATAAATTACACTCACACGCTTTGAAGTCTGATTTTATTTCACCTAAATGAACATTTTTTTTACATGAATTTTGAGAAATGTCTCAGTACTTTTTACATATAAAGTGACTTTATGCTGCCCTTTTGACATGTTGTTGACTTGAAAAAATATATTCCATTTATTAAATGACAAAAATACCCTAAATCCCATTTAAAATTACAAAAATGCTCACAAGTTAAAACGTACTTTTATATTTTCCTTTCACAAGACCCCAAAAAGCATTAAAATGGAGCATACAGCCGAGACCCAAAAAGCATTCAAATGGAGCATACAGCCGCATACAGCCGAGACCCAAAAGTTCAACCAACAAGAATAGTTCGACCAACTTCATTAATAGACCCACCTTATTTAATTGGATGGACAATATTTAGACAGTGGCCCTAGTCTAAAGAAGGTGAGAGAAATGAGATTGTTTATGTTTGAAGACAGTGAGCAATCGAGAGGAGAGGGTACAAGATGGACAATATTTAAACGATACAGGGCCACTTGTTTCCAGCCTAAAGAAGGTGAGAGAAATGAGATTGTTTATGTTTACTTTTGAAGTTTCGATTTCATACGAGTCTTCCTACAGAATACATGAACGTAATCGGTACAAAATCGAAGATTTAAGAGTTAATTTTCCCTCGAGTAATAGTGGCGTATCATAGAAAAAAGACATTCGCTACTGTAAAGGTTAACAAGCAAAAGAATATAAAATAGCAAGGTAACACATAAGAATGGTAGGAAACAATATAAATGTGTCAAATACCAAGAGCTACCTTTCACACACTAAAACAAGTTCTGAAAGAATGACAGCAAGAAAAATTACAATCACCCAACATATTGTCATCACAATTAGTTTTTTCTTTTTTCCCCTGAGGGTAACCTCCAGAACGTGCCCTCTATCCTGCACTATTCTGATCATTTAAGAACCACAACAAGCTGATTTTTGGGCAAGTTGACCGGCACCAGCCCCAGTGTCAGGTTGATTAATTTTAATTGTCGATGGCTGCATCAACACAATAAAATTAGTCTTTCAGCATTTACAACAAGATTGTAATTTCAATCACATACTTTCTATTGGGAACAGGGTAAATGATTATGTATAATACCTCGGCCTTGGTGTCGGTGTCCGCAAGCCTTTGTTTTATATCCCTTGCTATTGAAAAGAAAACTTCCTCCACGTTAAGATTTGTCTTTGCACTCTGAGTAAAAAAACAGTTTATTTAAAGATCAAAAGGAATTTTTGATTTTTCTACCAAGCAGGATATTGTTCATTAATTAGTTAAGTTGATTCCAGCACATTATACTTACAGTTTCAAAGAATTTAATGCCATATTCATCAGCAAGAGCTTGGCCCTTGGAGGTAGGCACCGCCTACAAATATATTTTCATGAGGGAAGATCGTCAGATTAGTGAGCAGAAAAACTAAACAGAAGAAGAGTAGACTTAAAATCCCAACAATTGAAGTTATATAAAGTAGGCTCCATTCATAAATCAGAATTAAGTTGTACCCTTTTGCTTTCGTCCATGTCAGCCTTGTTTCCTATCAGTATCTTGTTGACATTGTCAGAAGCATGCTGCTCAATGTTGCGAATCCAGTTCCTAATGTCTGAAAACGGAAGGATCAAAATCTATAAAAATTAATTGAGAAAGCAACACAGCATAAAGCTAACAACCTGATTATATATATATTTGTGCAAGCCAGGGCAGATTATCAACCATTCACATCAATGATATTAAATGAATGCATTGGGATTGAATAGTAAATGATGCACATATTTTGGGGAAAAAATCAAATTAGAAGAGTTCCTGAAAACCTAGAGTAAAATAAATAATGCTTTAACTTAGTATTCATCTCACAAGAAGTCCAACAATTCTGCTGCCACTTAACAACAACAACGGCAACAATAATAATGGAAGAAGAATTTATAGCCAATCTAAATCTAGAATGATGGAATTGGTGGGGCAGTAAACTTACTGTTGAAAGATGATTCATCTGTGACATCATACACCAGCAAAATACCCATGGCTCCACGATAGTAAGCTGGAACAGAATGTAAAGAAAGGAGGAAAGTTGATGACATAGAAATAATTGATACGGAAGACATATAGAGTATGACGAATTACAGAAGCAAAACAAAGTTGCATCTAAGAATTACTAAAGGAATACACCATTACAAAGGATGTAGAAACGAACTCTCCTGGTTCTATGCCTAGAACATCATTTATATGTTAAGGATTGGATGTTTGAGAGGGCTTACAAGCAAAATTTATCTAATCGAGTGGAATGATTGTCATAATTCAATTAAAAAAAAAAAATCTAAAAAAAAAAATTCAATTATATCCTCTACTTTGGGGCAAATGCATAAGAAAATAAGGGTTATTTGCAAGAGTTGGTCAGGAAGATTTTTGAGGTGAATAATGGAGCTTCAACCTTTCCACCATGTGTATAGGCCACCTTATATAAAGAAGACAGATTTTACCATCACATTAACCTATTGTAAAATTAAACTACCTTGTCTGCAAGACCCCAAGACGTACCAGTTGTAATCGTCCGGAACCGTTCCTGACCAGCTGTATCCCAGATTTGTAGTTTGATACGTTTGCCATCAAGCTCAATGGTTCTTATTTTAAAATCAATGCTGCAAAAGAAAAAATGATCTCAAAGAGGTAAGAACAACTTCTTAAAAACCAAAACTAAGTACTGACATTAAGCGTAGAGTTGTGCATACCCAATGGTGGTGATAAAACTAGTGGTGAAGGAACCATCAGAGAAACGCAAAAGAAGACAACTCTTACCGACACCTGCAATGGTAGATAGAAAGAAAAAAATTAAACTACCGCTGTATTCTGGGTTATAAATATCTAAGAAGCTCGGGTGATTATGTAATCACATCAAATTATCTGCAATTATGAGTGCATTACATACTCTATACATAACTAGAACTTGCCATTATGCTTTCAAAAAGAAGAGGAACAAGGTGGGCACAAGCCCTAGATACACTCTACACAGCTTTCATTTGTTAAGCATTCAAGTTACAGCATCCATCAAATCATTCATGGACATTCATATCAGAATATAGTACATGCATTTATATCCAAGCCAAACTACATCTGTACAGCAGGAGATAAAATCAACAAGCAACAAAAAGAACATAAAAAAGAAAGATTATCTAAAAAATTGCTTATATTCTCTCCTCGTACAAAAAGAAGAAAAGAAACACTATCATTTCTCAATCAGGTGATTCATGAAAATTCTCTTACAAACAAGTCTGCCTTTAAATCTAGAAATGACTTAACACTCTCATTATAAATCTGCCTTTAAATCTATAAACGATTTAAACACTCTCATTATAAAGCCTAACAATATTGCCAATTCAGGACACGTGGGAATTCATAAAGCTAATGAGTCCATGATTATAACTCCAAAGCCAATTGAAAGGTCCCAAAAAACAGACAAGTCAGGAAACACAATGCCCACAAAAAGCAACTTACCGCAATGCAAAAAAATTCATAACAATAATCAGCCATGGCTAAACGAGCTTTTGCATTACATCAGATGCCATAGCACTAAAGGGGTAATGAAATGTTGGACACAACCATGCAAACAAAAGTCATGCTAGTCACTTGTCAACAGACTCAACACAACAAACATGGTATCTATTTTGAAGATTAGATAGTGCACCTTACTTTAATGGATTTACCATCAACAGGTAGTCTGCTACACTAAGAAGCACAAACTTCCAAGGAGCCCTGTTCGTATCAAACACTTGCTAGGATGTGTCCAACAAATTTTGAACAGAGCTATGGTTTTAAAAAATAATAAATCATAAAAGTAAAAATCTTGATGTATGCAGCCTTACCTCCTCCTCATGCAGAGAGGTTGTTCATATAAATTTTATATATAATTTTTTTTGACCATATTAAAAATAAAATAAAAAATGTAAATATGTTTTTATCAATTAAGCAGGAATGGGAATAGGAGAATTTATCTGCATACATACACAAATTCATGCATATATTTGCGGTGTCTTTGTTATGATTTTTTATTATATGACAAAGTTGACTATGAGTAAATAATTTATAAATTCTATGTTCTCTGTAATTATAACATATTTGATATAGTTGTTGTCTAATAATGTTTGTCATATATAAAATTGAGTATCACTACTATATATAATACGCGCACACACATATACTCCCTCTGTCCCTAAAAGAATGTCCATTTTTCCTTTTTGGGTTGTCCCAAAATAATTGTCCACTTTCCTTTTTCAAACAATATATTTTACATCTTTCCATATATGTCCTTGGAGTTTAAAATTTCAAATTTGAATATTCAAAACTTAAAAGAGCAAGTTAGTAACTTTCCTGGGGGACAATACATGACCCACATGTCCCCTTAAAAATTTCTACTCCCAAAAAGGACATTCTTTTTGGGACAGAGGGAGAATATAATTGTGCCCTCGTTGACAGTCTATATGTCTGTAACTTGTATTTGTTTCAAACTTTCCATGCTTCTTAGGGGATAATTTATGGTTCATCATCTTGACGAAATTGTTACATGGATGAAGTAACTCACGATCACTCTACGATCAGAACAATAGTTAGTGAGTGATTTCTGCAGTTCCCGAGAAAGGTGTACACATCCCATATCAAATATCAAATTTTCTACCAATCATGCCATATGGCATCACCCTTTGGGTCCACCCCAAGACGGATTTGTATGCTCTGCATAACACCAAACAACGCCTAGACCACAAATTACCCCAATTTGGGGACCCAAAACCGAAGTTAATATATCCATGATCTTGTAACCTCAGGTATCTTCCTAAGCTGCTACCAAAGCACATGCACCCTATGCATGATGCTTGTTAAGGGTAGGCAGTAGAGCCCAGAGAGCTCTAAGAGCTTGACAAACATCATGGTGTGACCTCTGTGTCACAATGGCAACTTCTTCTTGGAAGTTTGGGTTTCTTGGTTCGATCAATAGAGTTGGGGGCTAATTGGAGCACAGCCACCTTCGGAAAGAGTTGAAGGCAGGGTTTATCTTTGCAGACATAGAGAAGAGACCGTGTCGATCTTTTAGGGAAGGAAAAAATGCGTTGAACACAACACACTTTGAGGTCCTCTGGCAGTAGACATGCCAGTGTGATCACGTAAACACACAAGCACAAGCCTGAAAACAAGCACGTCCAGCTATGCTTCAATCAAAATAGGCCCAAGTCTTAGGTGCTAAGATATCCCTACAAATCTATGTAAGGACCAGCCCAATTATATAAGCAAGATCTCATTTCTGGAATTCTTGAGGTTTGAAAGCACACGCTCTAATCCCCTATTTTCATTCTCCCATCCTCCACTTCCCCCTCTTCTCTCTTCCGTCTCTCTCTCTCTCTCTCGTGCTGCTCACCTCTTATCCATATCCAAAAACCTTGAACCACACTTCATCTTACATCTATGATATCCTCAAAGAAAGAACTCTATACTTCTTACAATTTAGAAACATTCCTCACTGCAACCACAAGTCTAGTAAATTCAAAAGTAGATAACTAAATGAACATGAGAAGAGTACTAAAAGAACACTTAGTTGCATAGCATATAAAAGAACATTAAATTTGAAGAGTCATAGCTAATTCAACTATGAAAGTTAAGTTTAAGATCTTTGAGCCCAAAAAGAAAATGTAATATGAAAATTTCTGTATGAACTACCCGAAGCTTTAACACAGTTTGAAAGTAAAAGAAGATTCAAAGAATTAGTATCATATAGAAAAATACTTTCGTGGGAACCTACTTGTTTTATTTAGTTATTACAAAAGAAACCAGTAAAAAATAAAAACCAGTTTACTTATCAAAATAATAATAATAATAATAACCAGTCTAACATTATCAACTGAGTTAGGGAAAGGGATAATCCCCTCAAAAATACCCCACAGAGATTCATATGGAAAAAGGAGAAAGAATGAACACTTTGTGCCAACTGTAATTTTTTAAACTCGGTTTTGTATTGTGTGCTTTCCTGGTTCTAGAATGTATTAGTATAATCGAGTTCAAGTGCCAGCAAGCATGACTTGGAAAATAAATATTTATTCCAAAAGGCTTGCAATTGTTGTTGTGAAAAATATGGAAAAAACACACACACACACAAAAACACATGGCCGTGGATCTCCTTGCCCAAACACAAAACAAACAAACAAAAACAAAAACCAAAACCAAAACCCAAAAAAAAAAAAACTGAGGGAGAATGAAAAAAATAAAATAAAATAAAATAAAAGGAAAAGTAGACTAGCAAACCAAAAAAATAGAAAATAATTTCTACACCAGCTTAGATGTACAAACTGAGAAATTAGAGTCACTCTGTTCTGTACTCACATGAATTTTGAGACAGGAAAGAATCAAAACTTCAAAAACCTTAGTTTTTATGCACAAAGTTCTGTCACTCTGTTCTGTCAATGCATGTTACATGATGGCACAAAGAAATAAAACATGCATGAGTTACGATAACATAAAGCACCAATGGCTTGTTATTGTCTCCCTGCATGCGTATTCTTGACCCACAATTTTCATTATCTAATTGCGTAAGGCATAGTTTCAAGCAAAATTAAAAAGCTTAAAAACATAACTGGCACACCTCCAACCATATACTGACATATATTTGAGAAGCAGCCCTTATAGGTTCTTAGAAAAAATTATACTACATTTGTCGATCTTGTCTTTTGATAAATGACTTTTTTAAACATTTTTCAATTTGACATATTAATTCTTATTCCACACTAAACACAAGCAAAGAAAAGCCAGAGGACCCAAAAAAACCTATCATGGCACAGAACATCTCCGTGTAAAGCTTCAGTTGCCCCGGTTTAAGAGTCTAAAAGCATGAAATATTGCACCACTTTTGTAATAGGGAGCATGACATGAGTTCCAAAGAAGTACGTTACTGTGCGGATGAGAAGTATATATATGCCCAGTAAAGAAACCACACCCCTCCAAAGAGCCCAGTGTCTAGGCCTGGAAAACTATAGAATAAAGTCCACCATACTCTACATAAGAGAGAGTACCGGATGACTTTTTAAAGAAGATCTACAAAGATTTCCAAAGATTAAAAAAAAAACAAAAAGAAAAAAAAAACTTAAACATCAGTTGTTTCAGTTCTCTTCTAACCTCAGCTCCTAACCTTCAACACATTAAACAAAAATTATGTATACTTCACATTTGTGCAATTTTTGTATCCATAAAGAGACAGACATTCTGTCAGGTGACACACACACAGTCAGTGACAAAACAGAACAAGAAAATAATGCAACGGAAGCCGGCAAGAATTTGCGCACAACAAAGGTACAATAAATGCAAAATGAAGCAAAAAACCAAGGATGGCCAAACATGGAAGTTGTAGAAATAATATGGCCTTTTTACAGATAAAACTCCAACAGGTAAGGAAAGTGAACGAATGTTAAGATTATGTCATTACTGATCAACATTGCATCGCCTTGATGAACCAAATTGCATACTACTCATGAGTAAGCAATTATGTTTAATATTGTTTACTAATTGAGAATCCAACCCCAAATGCCTCAAATAGGAGTATAAATTAGGTCAAAAGCATTTGAATCCAACCAGATCTGTTTGAAAAATGGAATTTTTAATACCTAAATACAACAAACTTCAAACAAAAAGCAATCTTAACAACCCCATTCTATCATGTCAATGTCAAAAGATTCCAAATTTCAAATTCAGACACTGGATCCGTACAAATGAACGAATTGCGAAGACAATGAAGATGAAAATTCAAAATGTTCTCACTGTACCGCTATCGCCGATCAGGAGGAGCTTTATGAGGTAATCGTAGTCAGCTCGAGCCCTTGTAGGTGGAGCGGCCATTGAAGAACCGATTCAAAAACCTAAGAAATATATATATAAATAAATTATATATATACCTCTTTGTATGTAATCAACCAACGACAATACATCAAAATCAGATTCAAGACAAGAATATACAAAACACGAAAAAATAAAGAGAGACAAAGTAACAGAAGTCGATCAGAACTGAAGAGCCATGTAAGTTTTAGAGAGAGAAGGTTTATACCAAATAAGAGACAGCTTGATCGTTCGCCGTCCGACCTACGATGGTGGCTTGGCTATGATGCGCACAGCCCCTTTTACCTTTTTCAGCGTGCGCCGATTTCTCCCCCCGCGTACGCTAGCAAATCTACAAGTCGAGAGAGAGAGAGGCCCTTTTTTTCCACTCTGCTCGTTAAGTAGGAAAATTCAGGTGCTCCCTGCCACATTTTAACTTTTGAAAGAAGTACATTAGACACAGTCTTGGTCCTTGGTCCGTTGTTGAATCTTTTTTTTTTTTAATACATTAATACATTAATTTTTTAATCTTAAACTTATCTAGTGTTAATACTCAAGGCCACTTTTAAAGGCAAGAGTATGAAACTTTGATTTCGTTCAAAGGCCAAATGTTCCATATCGGTTAATACACAATTAGGAGTGATCAAACGTCCAATTAAGTATGTTTTAAAAAAAAAAAAAAAAACCATCCAATTAAGTTTATCATTTCGCCAATAACATACTAATGCTGCAAATATAGATCGATTTTATACAATTATAATAATTAATGTCCTAAAACAAAATTCTTGTCACTATCTCATAAGAATATAATCTCTTTGCCAATAAAATTACTCATGCTATAAACATGATTCGATTTTGTGCGATTTTAATAAGTAATGTCCTGCAACAAAACTTTGTCATTTTTTTTTTTTTTTCATAAGAATAGATTGTCTAGGGAATTAATCTCAGCTACATGAGGCAAAAAAAAAAAAAAAAAAAAGGTTTATCATGTCAAAAATTTACATGTTCTGTTCAAATATTTTATTTTATTTTAGAAAAAAAAAAAAAAAAAAAAAAAACACATTTGTTTGTTCCAGTTCAAATTCCCTCTACCTCTTTGAAAATGGAGAAGTGAAGTTATATTTGGTATACAATACTAAAAAAATTGGGTCCCTGAGCTGGCGTCCTACTCCCTGCAACAGATCTGGTCTCAAATCATTGAGGGACAACTGTCATATGCTACAGAAACAAGTAACATCAAGTCGGTAACATCTAATCACAAACCCACCACAACATGATTTGTTGATAGAAAACATTCTTACAAAAGGGTTTATCCAGTGTAATGCTTGAATAATTCAATTATGTATAAGAGCATCAAGTCGGTTAACATCTAATCACAACCCACCATGCGCTGCCAGCCTACAAGTCCACACGGTTGTAGATGTAGCAGCCTACAAGTCCAGTCTGATAGTAATTTGAGAATAATTATAGTGGACCAAATTGATAAAATATATATATATATATATATATTGACATACCAATTTATTAATTTGATATATTTAACATTTTTAATACAGGGAATGTTCAACATGCCAGAGTGTTGCGCGTTTAAGATTAAAAAAAAAAAAAAAAAAGAAATCTTCCATATTCTCAAGAATATTGATCTCTAGAACAATTCAATTAAATGCAAGAATAGGTCAAGGATATATTTCATTGTTTAGTAGTTTTTTTTTTTTTCTTTCTTTTTCTTTTGTGGTATGATGACCGATTAAAAAAAAAAAAAATTAAATAATTTGCTACCCTTGTTAAATTTTGAAACAATGGTATTTAAAGTGAACAAAGTAACCAAATGGAGACTGGAGAGGCCATCCATCTGATGCAATTAGTGGAGACAAATGAATGTGATGAGAAATTATCAATCAAATATTAATGTTAAATCACTAGATTAGCCCACGTTCACTTGTGTGTAAGTTTATACATGCACTAGCACGATTTGAGGTCAAACTAGCATACATTCTTTTAACACTCACAAAAAGGCATTATTGCTGCTTCATATGAAAATCCAATTTGGGCAGCTTGTTTAATGAAGCATGATTGTGTGTGTGTGTGTGAGAGAGAGAGAGAGATTATAGATAGTTTTTCATTTGAAAATGCCAAACTGTTTATTATATAGCTCATGATTGGTGCATTGTATAAGAAAAGAATCCATGCTAACCGACTAATGCATTGCAAATATAGCATAAATGGCAACAAACATGTATGTTAGATCTACAGCATCATAATGGCACATGGACAAAAACTACGACATTAGAATAAACAATCAATGCAGACTTGATTAAAGCTGTGGTGGATTTTTTTTTTTCCCTCTTTCATTTTTTATTATATTTTAATTTTTTTAAGTTTATGTTGCAAATAAAACCAACACTTACTTTGACAATGTGGACGGTAGTGGTGTCGGACCTCTTAAAATACTTCATAGTTTACTTTTGGATACGTAGGACCTGCTTGGCTTAGTTTAAAGAATATTTTTGTAAACCATAAAACTGTAAAAAAAAAATCTGCTTGGTTAATAGTTTCTAAATTGTTTTCTGAAAAACTCAGTTCAAAAAAGATTTATTTGCAAAAAAAAAACTATCTTTTATAATTATCTGCTAATAATTTTCAGCTTTCTAAATTTTTTTAAAGTATTTTTTGAGTGTGAAACTAAAGCAAAACCTGTCGAGTCCTTGAAACCTCTTTGAAATTTGAACCTTTTACTTTTGGATAATACTAAATGGAAGCCTTCGGCAGAACAATATGTATCCATTGGATGCAATTTTTTTGGGTGAAGTCTTCGATCCAAGAATCATTATTCTTTTCTTTTTCTTTTTCTTTTTTTTTTTTTGTTTAGAAAGATTATTGTAACTTTGGATAATAAATAATGACCAGTTTGTTACCAAATGAAATAATTGGGCCAACTTAAAGTTTAATCTTTTGCCAAAAACTAGACATGTTAGTGGGTTGCATTAGTCGACTATTACCAACCTTTCATGGCAGCCCACCAATCAGAATGAATATATCCCTGTTGCAACAACTGCAAAATGAGAAATTGCAAAGAGAGAGTGACCCTAGTGAACAACTTTTGATTAAATTAAAAGTTCTCTTTACAGAGCATAAAACATAAGGATCAGGCTATGAAAAAAGAATGGCAACCAAGGTAATGCTTGAAGCATATGCTTAGAAGATCCTCCCCCCACTAACCCAAACCCTACCTTTTTAAAAGTTAATAAACTGCTTAGCGACTCTCTCTCTCTTAGGGATCATCCATCCCTCCTCCTCCATCACCCCCTGTTTGGGTACCAACTGCAAGTCCAACATGAGGTTCTGACGGGGTCTGATACCGGCCATGGCCGCGGTGGTGATGACGAGGATGATGAACGAGTTTATGGTGGTCATTCAATTGATATTCATTTGAGATCAATTGGGCAACTGAAGATCCTTTGGCAATATGCATTTCAAGCATATCAGTTAAGATATATATATATATTTGTTTTTTTTTTGTTTAAAGTGATAATTTTGTTTGCATCTTTTAATATGTTTTAATTTTGGTTGTTGTACTGAGGAAGGATTATTAGAGCCATTGTGGAGCTTTTATATATGTTGTGTATGTGTTTTCTGTGTTATGTCTAGTGTTCATGCTATGGCAAGTTTTCCGATAGCCACTTGACAAAAAAATTATTAAAAAAAAAAAAGAGAAAAAAAAAAAGTAGAGGGTGTATGAGAAAAAAAACAATAAACATCACCATTTATATTAGAAAAAAATTTAGTTGATTGATGATGAAGAGCCTAACATTTCATTTGGTCGAGGATTTCCTGACTGAAGGAATAAGAAAGAATTAAGGAAAGAAAACAGAGTCAAAGGAAAAGCAAAGAAAATAAGAAAGATAAAATATTATTTTTCAAAAATGATTAGAAGGGACTTTGCCTTCACTCATATTTACTTTTTCTCTCTTGTTTGTTTGCTTGATAAATGATTTTTCTTTTCCTATACATTATCTTCTCTTTCACTTCATTAAATGATCATGGCCAACCTCAATAATAGTCCTCTAGCGTCTTTTTCTTTTTTCTTTTTCTTTTTCTTTGTATAATTATTCATCATAGACTTTTGAAGATTCATAGGCCATATCAAGCAAAATGAATCCTACTTAAAATCCATTAATTGTCTCCATTAATGTACACCAAATCCACTAGAATTTCTCTTTTTCTTTAATTATTACTGGGCCAGTGGGCCTATTTCAAATGGTCAATTAGAGATTTCATGACAAAAAAACATTCATGCCGAGAGATTTTTTGAGATCCAATCCCATACTCAAAAATGCTTTTACAATCATAACATCCACTAATTTCTCGTCAGCCTAATGATTTTCTGTTTTTCCCTTTAAATGATAAAAAAATAAAAATAAAATAAAAAATGACACAACAATTTACTTTCCAAGTTTTTACTTTTTTATTCTTCCTAATCTTTTCACGTATTTTTTAAGTCAAATACTTTCCTAAAATTTTGCATTCTTCTTAATAGTGTTTCAAGTCAGCAATTTGAATGACTGAAGAAGTAAACGCATGCATGATTAGCGTGTGCAGCTAACTCTCAACGGGTTAACAACATGATTACCAATTAGAAACAAAAATAAATAGAAACATAGTTCCAATAAAGGGAACAACCCAAGGACCATATCACATCTCCAATGAATTCAAGGACATATTCGAAGAAATTCTGACCACCAGTCGGGTCGGAATGGTGTGTGCGTTCCGAACAACTGTTGCGGTTGAACCTAATAAGATAGCAAATACAACCCAAGAGGTAAAAAATACTTGACCATGGACATTTCAACACTCCTATTTCCCTAGCACGGCAAGGTCATTTCAAATAAGGAATAAGCACAGTTCAACTACCATTCACACAAGGGGACAAGAAGAGAGTGGTTTAAACAACAACGGTTGAGATGCATGAACACCAAAATCAAGCCAGGGACAAGAAGCGAGTGGTTTAAACAACTACGGTTGAGATGCATGACCACCAAAATCTCTCCATCAGAGATTTTAAATTGTCTGTTTCTCCACTGGTTGATGTGGATTATTTACAGGACAGCTGGGCTTGCTTCCAACGCAATAGATGACTATCAAATCTGAACTAATACTGTACAACAGAGTAAATTAAATGTAAACGAGCCATGTTTTATAGGACAAAATGTTGTATGAATAAAAAAAAGTTCTAATATGCGTGACCAGAATGCGAGGTTAAGATAGATGTGTAGTAGGAAGAAAACAACAAAACTAGAACCCAATATATTCCTGATAGGGTGATAGTAAAACCCATTGAAAACCAAAGATGATTTGGCTATGTGCATCAAAGATGAAATCAACACCATTGAGAAGATTGACAGGACTTACATTATGGGAAGGCTGAGGAAAAGAAAGACAAACTAAACTGGATTCAGATACTAAGAAAACAACCGACAGTGTAAGGTATAATTAAGGTTAGCCTATAGACAAAACAAAAAGGTAAAAGAAGAATTTTAACCACACTATGTTGAGTTGAATTGAGTTAAGCTAAGAACTCGAAAAGGCAATGTTCGTAAAAGAAAGTGACTGCTTTACACTGCTATCACAAAAAACCTTTTTTTTTCCCTGATCTGATCGAAGCAGCTCATTTTCCGAAAGGCTGGGATTTTTCAGCACCCCACCAGTTCATAGTTCTTGTATTAAGAAACATAATCACCCAAAAAATATATATATAAATATATATATATTTGTAAGAACGCAAGATTTTAGCAACTAGCAAATTCAACGAGTTTTAGGATAGTACTCAAACCAAGAACACAAAAAACAAAAACAATCCAAATCCCAAATGGAAACCACCTCCAACATAGAACATAATTTTTTCATAAAAGGGTTAACAAACTGAGCCAAAAGTTCCAAAAACAATCCTTCAAAATTTCTGCTTAGTAAAAGAAGCCAAGCACTTTTCCACCAACATTCTTTCTCCTAGCTTCTTCATGATCCATTATGCCAGCAGATGTTGTCAGCACAATATAACCAAACTGCAGATTTGTCATGCATCAATCACCATATCATTCAGTGAGAAACAAATGAAGCTAAAGAAGAAAAAAAAAGTGATATATTCGGCATTTCAAGGGATTTAAATTTACAAATTCCTCTGGTATTCAGAATGGTTCAAAATAGATAATAACATATTTTTCTCTAATTCTTTAATTGTTTCCCCACCAGTCAAATTTAGTTTTTCCTTTCAATTTCTAGTTTCAATGTTCAATGAATAAGAAATTAATCAAATAACATATAACAAGTACTCCGTAGTTTTTAAAGCTTACCTGTCTAGAGGGGAGCAGCCTTGCAGTCCAAGGTTCAATTTCTTTGACCCCTACGTCAAAACGAGGACTAATAACCCCACATTTGTTCAGCCTTCCATTCAATTCAACCACGATTTTTCCAGATCTATGATCATCAACATACTCAAACTCTCCAATATAACCTACAAAATCAATTGAAAACCGAAATTAAAAATACATTTACATATAAAAATGTCATCAGATTTAGTTCAAATTTTGATAGAAAAAATAATTCAACTGATGGAGAGGAATGAATGCAACAGGGCAAACCATGCTTCTGCATGACCAGAAGAAACTTGATAATCACTTTTGAGGACGGTCTGATCATAACCTGACGTTTCCCCCTCTTCTCTGCATTGTACATGCTCTTAAGAGCATCATTCAAGACACTAACTCTCATACTGGAAAAATTACAGCAAAAGATTAATTGGTAAATTTCAAAAATCAAACATATATTTGTCAAGGCAATATACACCTCAAGAAAACAGGGAGCATAAGTTTTGGCCCTCCATGGTTATCTAATGTTCTACTAATTCAAGGATTACATATACATTGCCCATCCAATATATCAAGAATAGAGTACTGCTCAAAGATTGTTGTTGCCTGTAAGGGACTCGTTAATTTGTTTTAAATAGCATCAAACATTCCATGAGAATAAAATGCTTATCCAAGCTTGTATATCTAGGTGCCATAAAACTGTGGCTAAGATATCAAAGTTTAAGTGCACCAAACTATACATATCTCTGAAAAGGTTTGAGGAAGTTCAAGCAAAAATAAATACTGCTCAACATGCAACTAAAATCACGTAATATAATGTTCTTGAAATGATTTCCAGTGACCTTTTGAGTAAATTAACTACAAATTATGTTTTATTCATCAAAGAATTGCGAGAACAGAACATAATAGAAATTAAACTGCATAACATCATCCAGATAAAGGTCAAACACAGATAAAATGTAACTACATTAAATTTTATATGAGATCACTCTTTAAATGGAAATCAAATTTCAGTTCCAATGGACAATAAATTCAGCAATCATTTAACATATTTAAATATAATGACTACCATTTGTCCATTAATGGACCAGGACCCACAAAACAACAATACAATCACATTCAATGTGGATACTTCATTTATTTAAAACTATCTTCCACTACTTACTGTAAGATGAGTGAAAAAATGTTATGGGTCATTAACCAGTGTGAGTGTGATCCCCATTAATCGAGGGTGCTCGAAGGAGTAGATGGGATACAGACCTAATCTTTAGCATTATTTGCACAAAGTAACTGATTCAAGATTCGAACCATGCTCTCGTGACAGCCCAACCATTTTACCACTGCACTAGGCAAAGGCCCCTCAACAAAATCTTAAAACACACACACACTCGCAAAAAAAAAAAAAAAGTCTAAAAACATTTATTAAAAAAAAAAAGAAGTCGAAGTTGAGCATTGAAGCAATCGCCCAAAGGCTGAGAAATGTCACAACAGAAACAAAAACCACCACAACACCAATGGATACACTCTAATTACTTCACAAGAACGCGTGCACATTAAAACCAATTTGAAATTATGTTCTCTTGTCAACGTGTTTAACACTTCCTGCCCAAAACAACGACAAACTAAGAGTCAAATGTTGTATTTGTGGCATCCTGTGAATACTGCAGATCTTTGAAAAAAAATTGGTGAGGTAAAACTTAGCGACATAAATAGTGCAACGATTCAGTGGATTTGAGATTTGAAAGTGAATCCATGGGATTCGATATAATGGGAGAAAGATTTTAGCCAATCCCACATACAATAGAAGTTCTTGTTGGAACGTTGTCTAAAATAGAATATACTCATGAAAACCCAATCCCCGAACCACTTTCTTGCTTCTCATACTGGCTTCATCCTTCCTGATACTGTGATCACATTTTTTAGCAAAGAGACTCCTTGCCACCAATCCGGAGCTACTTGAAACTTAAAATAGCAACTCAAAGTTCGCACCAAAAAAAAAAAAAAAAAAAACTATATAGAGATGTTAAAAGCACCTAACCCCTACAGAAAATAATTTGGAGGCCGTCTAGACCCTGAGGTACATCCAAACTCGACCCTCCCACTCTACATTCATGGCAATTGAGTGATAAGAAAGAGACACTAAAATCCCATCCTTGGATGGTGCTTCACCACCTAGGTGATTGGGTTTTGATAAAGAGTGAATCTATTTTTCACAAAAGGTCAATAAAATCCTCATAAAATTAGAGAAAAAAAAAAAAAATCAAACTTGCTAAGCACATAATAAAAAATGTATTGGTTCATGAATGATCTATGTAAGATGCATAGTCCCCACTTCTGCATGTAGCCATGAAAAATTGGACCTCAAAGGCTTTCAAGAAAATGACCAAGTGAAAGTCCATTCCTGGCATGACAATGCTTAGGTGGTGCAGAACAACAGAGATATGATTTTACTCTAAGATGTTAATAATTTACGTCAAAATTTTTGTGAGCGGATAGAATCAAATATCTTATCTCTTTGCATTGTATCCCGGGCATTGATTACCACAGCTGGTCTATGAAATTTGGAAAAAGCAAGTGCGACCTAGACACAATCAACACTATGCCCACAATGTTTGAACACCTTTACCTTGTAAATTTAATTTTAATTAAACCCAACAAGAGCTACTCTACTCTATGCACAACATAATTCAGATAAGGCCATACGTAAAAGACATATACAGTGGATTACTTGAAATGGCCTTTTAGGATATAACAATTTTGGCATGGTCATATAGTTCTAGCACCATTCTCACCCAATTCTATATGAACAAATGAACACTATTTCAACTTATGAATGCCACTGGATTCCACTATAAATCCCATTTAGATCACATGATATTCCAGATCCCAATGTCATGATGATGACCCAGAAGGTATACTAAAAACAAAATAATCTTGCTAACAGTATAAAATTAGGAAAACGGTTAACATTTAAAACACTTATGATGCTGGAATGAAAAATAATACCCTAATACAGTAACATGAAATAGATGATCATAAAGATATAAATATAACATTTTTGTATTTTCATGAGACACGAAGAAAGTGCTGTTTCAAACAACCAACATAACGGAGCCTAATAGGTGACATTTTTCTGATCTATTGACCCGGAAAAGGAAGAAAGCAAGCATAGTTCTTAAAAATAAAAATCTTTTTGGGAAATGAGGCAATCACATAAGCATACATCATAGTGGATTTGTTCTTCCCGAATGTTTAACCATGTAACATTGTTTCAATCGCATCCTACACCTCCCTAATGCTATATTCGCATTGAATCTCAAAAATGTTTCAGTAGTTTCATTTTTCTACTCTCTGTGGGGGTGAGTTTGTGAAATCTGTAGTTTAAAGGAAGCATTGTATATGCATGCATCGATATATATAGAGAGATGAGGAAGAACAAATCCAACTATGCTAGCAGATCAAAATCACATAGAGCTGTGTGTGTTTAATTGAAGTTATATCAGTGGATGTAGTCAATTACCTTCCCTCGAAGAAGAATTGGCGGCTGTGTGTGCTTAGCCTACCTGCGGAGTGTGGAGAAGAAAGGTAAATTTTACTAGGGTTTCGGCTTTTATCCCAGGGATGACAAAAATGAGGGACGGTCCAAAGATCGAATTGTGCGTCGAGACCCGAATCCAAGTATTTGGGTTCTCGCAGCTTTCCAAACCGAACCGAGGATCCAAAAAAATTTATTTCTCCTCTACCTAAAGTCCAATAATTTTGTATAGGTTGTGACATTAAATTTTTTTTATTTTTATATTAGAGATTAGACCTTTCTGCTAATTAACAAACTTACAAACCTCCCAAAGAAATGTTATTAAAGAGTGTTTTTTTTAATAAAATTTCAAAACTTCCCCTTTACTTAAATTAACCTAGCCACAATTCTTCACTTCTTTGCCCATTTTGAATCTTTGATTCTAAGTAACAAAGAAAGAAAGAAAAATAATAATAATGATGAAAAAAAAAAGAAGAAAAAAGAAACAGACATGGAAGTTCTGCCATTAGACCTGGTGAATGATTTATGACCCCCAAAGACTAAAATTATCTCCATTAATATTGAAGTTGTAGCCAAATTCATGCCTTCAAAAGTTCAAATAGACCATTGAATTATTTTTAAACATGTTTATAAATTTTGTAATGTTAACTGTTGAATTATTTTACCAACTCTTTCAAGGGTGTTTGGATGGGAAGAATAAGAGAGAAAAGAAATGATTGGGTCCCTCCAAATCCCTCGCTCATTTGAAATCCCTCCAAAATTGACAAGATTTGGAAGGATTTTGAGAGAAATGGAACAAATTGCAGAAGGGACAAGAGAGTTGAGAGACAGCCGGCTGAAGCTTTGCGAATGGCGATCGAACTGGAACAGCGGGTGATGGAAACTGATAGATATGGGTTTTGAATTTTTTAACAATCTGAAATGATATGCGGATATGGGTTTTGATTTTTACTGTTACAGAGAGAGGGAGGCTAAGAACGAGATGGAGGCTATCGGGGAGGCTGAAATATATATATATATATGTAGTTTGCAGTTGCAGAGAGAGAGAGAGAGTTGCAAAACAAGAATTATAGACCTTGATTAGTTGATATTTGAAAAAAATTTAAAATAACCATACATACAAGTTAGCAGTTGCAGAGAGAATGGGGCAAGCTTGAAAGATATGGGTTTTGATTTTTGGAACAATCTGGAATGATATGCCGATATGGGTTTTGATCTTCTGATTCTTGTAGATTTTGTAGTTTGCAGTTGGAGGGAGAGAGAGAGAAAAAGGATCTGTGAGAACGAAAATAGAGAAATGGAGGCGATTAGGGAGGTTGAAATGATTTTACCCTACTAACCCTACCAAAAAGGGTAAGATGGTAATTTTATTATTATCATTTCCCTTCTTTTCTCTCCTTTGTGTTATCCAAACAACAATATTGCCAATTCCTTTCTTTTCTCTCCTATTTATCCAAACATGAATATAAATTATAGCGATCATTTCTTTTCTTTTCTTTCTCTCATAATCATTTCCTTTCTTTTCTCTCATGTGTATCCAAACGAAGCCTAAAATTCTCTCCAACAGTTTATAACGTAAGCAATTAATGGAGGACAATCATTCACCAAGTCCATGCAGAATTTGCACAAGATATCATGTTTCTGTTTCTTTCCTCTCTCTGATTCGGAAGGAGGAAGGAACAATAAAGACATCACAGTTGAATAGAATTATGTGTGTTAAAATTGAATAAAGAAACAAAGTATAAAGAATACAAAGTAAGAATATACGTGGTTCAGCCATTAGGACTTACGTCCACGGCACACAAAGCCGTTACATATCTTTTATTATAATAATCTCTCTTTTCATATTAAATATAATGGTGAATATACTTTTATATAAGAGAAAAAATAATGAGAATGGAAAGAGATAGATATAGCAAATAACATTAATACTGAAATATTTTTCTCCACAAATTCCTCCAGTATCTTCAATAAAAGAAAACATTAATAATGAAATATTTTACTCCATTGATTCCTTAAAAAACAATTATAACAGTAAATCTGCAACAATAGGAAAGAGTATCAATACTGGAAGATTTTCCTCCATTGATTCCTCCAGTAAATATTTAACACTCCCCCTCAAGTTGGAGCATGAATGGCATGAATGTCCAACTTTCCATTGAGATGACAAATAACAGCAAGTACAAATGATGAAGAGGTGTAACGAGATAACCTCAATAAAAATGGAACCAAAGATCGCAAGACAAGTATCAACAATCTTGATTGATGAAGAGATGTAAGAAGACAACATCATTAAAAAAAATGAATCCGAAGATTCAAAACGAGTAACAACAACCTTGATTGATGAAGAGGTGTAAGAAGACCACCTCAATAAAAATAGATCTAGAGATTCAAAAGAGAACCAATAATGGCTCTGATGAAAAAAGAGAAATGAACAAAGAACGTTGCTTGCTCTAATACCATGTTAAAATATAGAAAAAAATTGAAGAGTGAAATAAGATAGAACAAAGCACGAATATAACGTGCTTCAGCTACTAAGGTTTACGTCCACGGCACACAAAACCCAAAGGACTACATATCTTTTATTATAATAATCTCTCTTTTCATATTCAATATAATGGTGAAGACTCATTTATATAGGAGAAGAAATAATGAGAAAGGAAAAAGATAGATATACGAAACAATATTAATACTAAAAGATTTTTCTCCACAAATTCCTCCAATATCTTCAATAAAAGGAAACATCAATAATAGAGGATTTTTCTCCATTGATTCCTTCAATAACAAATATAATAGTAAATCTTCAACAATAGGAAAGATCATCAATACTGGAATATTTTCCTCCATTGATTCATCCGGTAAATCTTCACATCAACCCCAATATTTCACTGCGCAAAACCACTGTCTTTATTTTCTTGCAAGTCATCCAGAGGAAACCTATTTAAGACAACAAACCCTACCTCCGTATCCACTTTCCATTCCGCCTCAATCACTCTCGTCGGTCGTCGTCTCTTTTTCTTCTGTATTTGCAAACTGATCACAATCATCTGTATTTGTAAACTGATCATGCTCCTCTTCATCTTCTTCTGTATTTGAGTACTGATCACGCTCCTCTGTATTTGCAAACTGATCACTTTCGTCGATGGTGGTTGTCTTCTACTTCTTCTGTATTTGCAAACTGATCACGCTTCTCTGTATTTGCAAACTGGTCACGTTCCTCATCATCTTCTTATATTTCGTAATTCTGTAAGTCCCACTTTTTCTCATTCAACTTTTTTCCCAAGTCACTATAACTACATTCCAGAGTTAAAACCCTAACGCCTCAATCATTCTTCTTCTTCTTCTTCTTCTTCTGTAATTGGAAGGTGTCCCACTTTTTCTCATTTGATTCCTCTGTTTTTTTATCACGAGATGTTTTTAATTCTGCTTGGGTTTTGCTTCGCCCCCACAGAAGTTGAAATCCTCCATTACCTAAGCAGAAAAGTGAAGGGAGAGAACTTGCCGGAGGGTGTAATATTGGACATTGATATTTACGGCCAAACTCCCTGGGACATATTAAAAAAGGAAGATCGATGGCATACGAGTAGCAATGATAAATGTCAATTCGTTATCTACGTCTTCACCAAGTTGAAGAAAATTGGCGATAAGAAGAGAGTTGTAAGGAGAACCGGGTGTGGGATTTGGGATGACCAAAACAAGCCTGAGAAAATTTATAATGGACATAAACAGCTTATTGGTTTTAATAAGATGTTGGCTTTTGAAGCAAATGTCAAGAAAGACGAGTGGTCGATAATGCCAAGAGGTCATTGGACTATGCATGAATATTCATTGGGCGGTGTGAGTTTGGATGGGCTAAAGGTAAGGATCACCAAGATTATGTTGTTTGCAAGATTAAAATAAATGATTCTAAATATCTAAGGAGAGCACCAAAGCATGTTTGTGAGGTATCCAAAGAAGAAAACCCTAGTCGGAAGAAGAAGAAGATGCGATATGATCATGATGAGGCCTTTACAAGTACTCCACAAAAGACTCTAACTCTAAAGGATCATCTTGAGTTGCTTCTAACGCCAGTAACGTCTTCTGATTTTCAGCCCCTGCCATCATATTATGATGGGAATGTAAGACTCTTTGATTTGCCCAACATTAACTGTTGTGGTAGAATAGAAAGCCTACAAACGATAGACTCGTTTTCTTGATAATTTTGATACAGCTACTACTGCAACGTCTTCCGATATTTAGCTACTGCTACCACATGATGATGATATCAGAACAATGAACTCTTGTGATACAGTACAAGACTAAGACCTGCAACAGATTAAGTCATTTTTTGACAACTTTGATTTCGAAACTAATTTCTTTGATTCAAAGATGGAGGCACGCATTAAGGGTTTTTCTGAAAGTTTTTTGTGTTAAGATGATGAGCTTGTAGATGTCAATTGAACATGACGCCCTTACTGGATGTCATGCTATGCATCTTCACAATTTTTTGAGCGTTGTATTCATTCAATTCTTCAATAAAAAGAAACATCAATAATGGAGGATTTTGTTCCATTGATTCCTTCAACAACAATTATAACAGTAAATCTTCAACAATAAGAAAGAACATCAATACGGGAAGATTTTCCTCCATTGATTCCTCAAGTAAATCTTCAACACTCCCCCTCAAGTTGGAGCATGAATGACATGAATGTCCAACTTGCCATTGAGATGACAAATAACAGCAAGTGCAAATGATGAAGAGGTGCAACGAGATGAGCTCAATAAAAATGGATCCAAAGATCCCAAGACAACTAGCAATAACCTCAATTGATGAAGAGGTGTAAAAAGACAACATCATTAAAAAAAAAATGGATCCGAAGATCCAAAACGAGTAGCAGCAACCTTAATTGATGAAAAGGTGTAAGAAGACCACCTCAATAAAAATAGATCTAAAGATCCAATAAGAGAACTAAGAATGGCTATGATGAAAAAAGATAAATGAACAAAAAACATTGCTTGCTCTGATACCATGTTAAAATATAAAATAAAAAAAATTGAAGAGAGAAATAAAATAGAACAAAGCACGAATCTAACGTGGTTCAGCCACTAGGGCTTACATTCACGCCACACAAAACCCTAAGGGTTACATATCTTTTATTATAATAATCTCTTTTTTCATATTCAATGCAATGGTGAAGACTCCTTTATATTGGAGAAAAAATGATGAGAATGGAAAGAGATAGATATAGGTAACAACATTAATACTGAAAGATTTTTCTCCACAAATTCCTCTAGTATCTTCAATAAAAGAAACATGGGTAATTTACACAGATCTCCCCTATGGTTAGTCATAATTACAGGCGGCACCCTTCTTGTTCCGGAAATTACGCGGACCTCCCCTACTTTTTAAAATATCCTACACGGACCTCCTTTCCGTTACGGTCAATGCTAGTCAATGACGAAAAATAATGACGTCAGCTATTAATTTTTTTAAAATGCCGAAAATACCTTTGTCTATATAATTAAATAAATATTATATTTAAAATATATATATTTATACTTGATATATATATATATATATATATATATATATATATATATATATATATATATCAAGCCTTCATCTAGTTTAGTCAGTCGTGATGGCGGCGATGATCTCTGATGGCGGCGACGGTGACAGGTTGTGGTGGTGGGGTTTGAGACGGTGAGGCGACGGGCTGTGAACTCAAATTTTACCAATGGAAAGAAAGCTGGAATTATGCTTTCTTTCCATTGGTGATCAGACTAAGCATGCTGAATGCAGCTCCAAAGAGCCTAATTATCATCCCCACAGCAATTCTACACCCAGATTCCAGGTAAATCTAATCTAATTTCACAAACTTAGAATAGTCGGAAAGAGAATATTTAATTCAAAATCTGAATCAACTTGATTCATGATGTCAAATCAGAACTAATTTATTTTTGATAGGTCAATCAGAACTTATTGAATCTGTTTCTCTACTGAATTAACTGTTATGCAACTATCAAATAAGAAAGCACTAAATTTTAAGCACTCATTCTTGTTGCAACATGATCGTTTAAAGACACGATGAATAAATAGTTTCTTACTAACAATTACAAATAAAATTGAAAATGAATGCGGAACCATGTGGATAAAATTACCACTGGAGGTTAAACAAGAACCATCTCATGCGTTTCTTAGTTTCAATCTTGTGGTATTGAAAATTTCTTACACAATCTGTGACGGCAACGGGTTGTGATTGTGTGGATCTACATTCTTTGACTCTCTCTCTAATCTGTTTCACCAATGGAAAGAAAGTATAATTCCCCGATGACTCGTCACGGAACTCCGGCTGCGAAGATGAGCAGTGAGAGAGTCACAAGCATTTGATTTAATTTTCTTGAATTTTGAGAAAGTTCTAAGCAACCAATTTTTTATTTATTTTTTAATAATCATCAACTAATACATCTCCAGTTTGCTAGATTCTGAGTCCATGGCTGCCTAGAGAGAGAAAGTGAAGATAGAGAGAGAGAGCTGATCGAAGTAAGTCAGAGCGAGAAAGTGGGATGAAGGGATCATCGTGATTAAATTGGTTTTCTCTATACTGCAACAATTAACACACAACATGCTTAAATTTTAGAGAACAATAAATAATCACCATTAAATTTTAGAGAACAATAAACAATCACCATTATAATAAAGTCAAAGAATCTTTCTGGCTCAAGAATGTGTTTTTCTCACTAGCTTGAGTATGAAGTCCAGCGTTTGTTTTCTCTGACGGACCACAGTGGGGTTCTAGTGGTAGTTCTTAGAGGCCATGAAGTCTGCTTCAGCTGCCAAGAGACTCTGAAAGGCCTTGAGCTGGTATTCGTCATCGTCATCCATTTCACTTCTTGTTCGTTTTCAGTCTGAGTTTGGCACGCTTATGGGGGTAGTTTAGTAATTTTAGATGCTAAAATGAGGGTATTTCAGTAATTTTGACAGCTTCGTTAGTGTATTTAACGGTCCGTCACACATAAGGGAGGTCCGTGTAGGATATTTTCAAAAGTAGGGGAGGTCCGCGTAATTTCCGGAACAGGAAAGGTGCCGCCTGTAATTATGGCAAACCATAGGGAAGGTCTGTGTAAATTACCCAAGAAACATTAATAATGGAGATTTTTCTCCATTGATTCCTTCAATAACAAATATAATAGTAAATCTTTAACAATAGGAAATAGTATCAATACTGGAAGATTTTCTACCATTGATTCCTCCAGTAAATCTTCAACATCAACCCCAATATTTCATTGCGCAAAACCTCTATCTTTTTTTTCTTGCAAGTCTTCCAGAGGAAACCTAATTAAGACAACAAACCTTACATCTACATCCACTTTCCATTCCGCTTCAATCACTTTCATCGGTCGTCATCTTCTTCTTCTTCTATATTTGCAAACTGATTACTCTCGTCGGTGGTGGTCATCTTATTTTTCTTTTGTATTTGCAAACTGATCACATTCCTCTGTATTTGCAAACTGATCATGTTCTTCTTCATCTTCTTCTGTATTTGGGAACTGATCACGCTCCTCTGTATTTGCAAACTGATTACTCTCGTCGGTGGTGGTCTTTTTTTTCTTCTTCTGTATTTGCAAACTGATTACGCTCCTCTTCATCTTCTCCTATTCCGTAATTCTGTAAGTCCCTCTTTTTCTCATTTAACTTTTTTTCCCAAGTCACTACAACTACATTCCAAAGCCAAAACCCAATCGCCTTAATCATTTTTCTTCTTTTTCTTCGTCGTCTTCTTTTTCTGTAATTGGAAGGTGTCCCATTTTTTCTTATTGAATTCCTCTGTTTCTGATCACGAGATGTTTTTAATCATGCTAGGATTTCGTTTCGTCCCCATAGAAGTTGAAATCCTCCATTACTTGAGCAGAAAAGTGAAGGGAGAGAGCTTACCGGAGGGTGTAATATTGGACAATGATCTTTACGGCAAAGCTCCCTGAGATATATTAAAAAAGAAAGATCCATGGCATACGAGTTGCAAGGATAAATGTCAATTCGTTATCTACGTCTTCACCAAGTTGAATAAAATTGGCGATAAGAAGAGAGTTGCAAGGAGAGCCGACTGTGGGACTTGAGATGGCCAAAACAAGCCTGAGAAAATTTATAATGGACATAAATAGCTTATTGGTCTCAAGAAAATGTTGGCTTTTGAAGCAAATGTCAAGAAAGATGAATGGTCGATCATGCCAAGAGGTCGTTGGACTATGCATGAGTATTCGCTGGGTAATGTGAGTTTGGATGGGCTAGAAGAAGGTAATGATCATCAAGATTATGTTGTGTACAAGATCAAAAGAGATGATTCTAAATATCTAAGGAGAGCACCAAAGTATGTTCGTGAGGTATCGAAAGAAGAAAACCCTAGTCGGAAGAAGAAGAAAATGTGATATGATTATGATGAGGCCTTTGCAAGTATTTCACAAAAGACTCTAACTCTAAAGGATCATCATGAGTTACTTCCAACGCCAACAATGTCTTCTGTTTTTTAACCCCTACCATCATATTATGATGAGAATGCAAGACTCTTTAATTTGCCCAACATCAACTGTTATGGTACAATAGAAGCCCTGCAGCAAATAGACTCATTTTTTGACAATTTTGATGCAACTACTATTGCAACATCTTCCGATATTTAGCCGTTGTTACCACATGATGTTGATATCAGTACAATGAACTCTTGTGATACAATGCAAGACTAAAACCTGCAGCAGATTGAGTCATTTTTTGACAACTTTGATTTCGAAATTGATTTCTTTGATTTAGAGATGGAGGCACGTAATAAGGCTTTTTCTGAAAGTCTTATGTCTTAAGATGATGAGCTTGTAGATGCCAATTGAACATGAGGCCTTCACTAGATGCGATGCCATACACCTTCACAATTTTTTGAGTTCTGACATGTTATAGGTGAATGGGAGTGCGTTTTCATCTAATTCATTAAGCATTCAATCGTCTAAGAGGAGGAAGTGATGGCTCAATCTGGAGGTCGGGGTGGTGGACGGAGGAAAGAATTAGGTAGATCCCATGCTCTGTAAACTCGTTTCGAAGCAGACAGTTCTTCTGGTTTAGAGAAAGAAGGCAGTCTTTCTCTGATACAATTGTAGATTTGTGCAAGAATTGAGCTTTAGGGTTGACTTCTACCTTGATTAACATTGTCTTACATTTCCTATGGAATTTGAATAATGGGCTATTTAGAGATGAGTTTCTACATAATGCGTGAAAAAAATTGCATGACAATTGTGAAGGGTGAGAGTGGATCA